TGGCGAATCACCGTCGTCTCCTTTAGTTGCACAATGGAAATATTTTCTGGCGCGCGGGGCTCGAGAGAGACTTGCCTATTCGCATGTAAGACGTGCATGCACTAAGTATGCGCGAATCCGTGTTGAACGAGGCGCATGCGAAATGAACGGAGGTACGAAAAGGTATTAAAAGTAACGGCTGCGCGGCACGATAACTATTAAGCCACAACCGTGGATTTTACTCCGGCCGGCTGCTCAATCTCATGGTGGTCCCTATACTCGCCCTCTTGTTCGATTCCCTCGAGCTCGTCTCTCTTCGTAATCTACGATATGCACGAAACTGCAAAACGCCGTGGAGCGTTTATTAACCAGAGCGTTTAAGTTCCAAAGCGCGACAAGACGCGCGACGTGTATATCGCGACCCGAGAAAGAAGAAAAAAATCGGAGGACGAGAGCGTACCTATGGAAACCTATGTAATATCTTGTGTATGCAGACGTCACGTACGCGGTGCGTGTTCACAAGTGTGTAGCGAAAAGTGTTCGTGCCGAACACGTGTTCTCCGCGTTAATGCGTTACCCGCACCGCGAGTAAAAAGGCATTTTTCTTGAACCGGCCGTAACGCGATGCAACTCCGTTCCACGCTCGCAACGCATTTTTAAACTTAACTTATACGTGCGCGATCAATTCATTCGAATGCATCCTCTCGCCGATCGACCGCTTTTTAACGTCGCGCGTTGTCGTTAAAATAAAAAAAAGACTATTACTATTTGATATTACATTCCTTTTAATTCATATTTTTCCTTTTTTCTCTCACACGTGCAGCGCGTGATGAAAATGGATCGCCTTGTGTTAGAATTCTGAATGCTTTTATTTATTAAAAGGACTTATCACAATTTTAAGAAAATCATTTTTATCGTCGGCATGTATAATGAAAATATATACGGCGTAACACCAAATTAATTCCTGTGAATATTTAATGCGAAAAAGACGTTTTCGCCTTTAATGGTCTTTTTATAATCTTTTATTCTTCGTACATATTTGCGGCTGTGCAAATATACATGAACATAATATGCGAACGAATAGCGAAGCTAAGAAGCTACAGAGAGGGAAGTAAAGATAATAACGTATTCGACGAAGAGAATGGCACTACTCGCGCGCAGTCATCTGCCGCAGTATGAATTACATCGGCGATTGAAACTCGTTCGTGGTAGAAAAAAAAAGCACGTGCGCAACCTCGGGCTGTCGGAGGTGCCGAGATTTGCATATTAAATGGGTTGGGATTTATAACGGTCGGTCTTTCGAACGGTGTTAGCAATATGTGCGATAAATAAAGAACCTTCCTCGCGCGAATCGATAACGCGCAAAGTTTAGTTTTTGCGCGAGTAAACATGAATTTCGCGCGACTGCCTTAAGACCGCGTGAGAGAGAAGAGCGGCAGAAAAGTAAAGAAAAGCTTAGCAAAACATGTATTTTGATATGACTTGACGTTTAAAATTTCTTAAAAATACGAGTATATTATATAATAATATGTTAAAACTGGTCATAACATGCGGCGCACAATGACAGCGTGTTCTAATTTACTGTAAGTAAATTTACTATACGACTGAAAAAATGAAACTTGAAGTAATCTACATTTGTATACATATATGTATACATGATATATTTTTGTCCGGTTTAAACTCTAAATTTAGAAAATATTAAAACATTATAATTAAGAATGATCCGGCGACAAGTCTAATCCCAAAGTATAACTGATATAATCAATTAATCGATTTAAATCAATTTGCGTACGTCACGACGTTCTCGCGTCTTATTCATTTCATTCAACGTTGCTCGCAAGATTGATCGAATAATCCGGCCGTCAGAAAATTTTCTGGATCGTTCGAGGGTTATACCGACCCTCCTCGAACCGGTTCTCATCGTTATTCGGCGGCAGTATCGAACTAAGTTATGTTCCGCTTGCGCGAATTTGTGCGTTCCGCGTGCCTCGTCGGCGCTTTTGATATACGAATACCTCGTCGCGGCGGGTTCGAAACGGGTGGGACACTTTGTTGCGAAATGACCTTAGTAATATCTATTACCGCGTCGGATTTAAGGGGCATTAAAAGATAAGTTCTACGAAAAGATGTTCCCGCGTGTGTTACACAAAGTATAAAATTAATATGATCCTAATATAAAATTCTCCGCAGCTTTATACGCTTTTATACGCTCTCCTTTATATTCCTCATCATCTGTTACATACACGTACAGACAGAAGAAATATAATTATCCTATCAATTAGAATGCGACCTAAATTATTCTTAGTAAAGTTGATAACTTCTAGCCGCCTTATTATTATTCCGATAAACATTGTATATATTATCGATAAATGACCCTATTATTGTGAGTGTTATCTATATAATAAGTAGCGTAGAAAAAATATAACGAAATAAAATACTGAACTTGTCTATTGGGAAATACTATGATGTATTATTTAAGAATCTTTTTAAGCTAGGCGATGACACTTTGTGGTGTTAAAATTGTGAAGAAGCTCATTTATCTTCGTTGTGCCACTGAAGGAGTTGTTCGTCTAAATAAGCATCTTCTTTTATTCGATTAAGAACCAAAATGTGGCATTTGCCTTAAATATGTATAGAATAATTAACTTATATATATATATATATACATGTGTGTTTGTATACAAACACACACACACATACATATAATTATTTCGCATTATTACTAATTTGACTGATAAAATAGAGGAAAAAAAAAGGAAAACCGATACAATTAACACACAATATAGAAAATGCCATTTTTCAGTGAAGTTGTCGCACGTGGATGAAAATATGGACTACCGCCGTCAAAAGCGATAATCGGCTAACGGCGATAATTTGTCCATGCGTTTGTATATCTAAAAAGCCGAGCGCCTAGTCGGAGTCGGAGCGATGATAGCAAACACAAATTGGTGGTGGCTGGACTAATATACCCGAATATGATGAATGGTCTTTTATATCCACGGACGTAGTAAGGTGTTATGCGTTACGTTAGTGTTGAATTATTGCGTGCGTGGGGCAGCCGCGCGTCGGCACAATAACGCAGCCCGCGGGAGGGCCTGGTCCCTCTGGGGTCCGGCTGGGTCCCTGCCCACGTCCGAGCTTTTACCCGCGAGACATCGAGATACGTGCCCGCTCGATACCTCTTTCCCCCCCACTCCTCTTTTTTCTTCCCTCGCCGCGATTTTAATCGAACCGCGTTACGAGCGAATCGAAAGATCAATCGCCATTGATCTCCTGGAGGATTTATGATCGTCTTTCTCTCTCTCTCTCTCTCTTTCGATTCGTTATTATCATTCATGAAGTATAATAACCCTCGAAACAAACGATGCTTTACGGTCGCGCATCCAATCTCATCCTCGTCTGATCGACCTCCGCTTATTCTTGCTCTTCACCATTGTCTCATTCTGTCACCTCTTAAAATTTCGATGTTAAAAATATTATGAGAGTATTTTTCAAATCCAGTACAACTGAGATTGATCAGTTCTTACGTAAGAGTCTGTCAATGTCACACGTTATCACTTTCCGTACGATCGTTTAGCACCTTTTTTTTTCGCCAGTTCTTCACCGTACCAAATTACCGTTCATAAAATAAACTGACGACGTTCGATGGAGGGACGACTGGAAAGAGACAGATATGTTGATCCAATCTATTCTAATTATCGCTAGGAAGATAGGCATAATAATAGCATCGTCTCAGACTCAAAGTTGCGCCACAAACTTCGTAGAGAAACGACAGAGGAAGAGAGAAGGAGAAAAAGAGGGAAAAGAACAGAAAGCACTGACGCATCACTGGCGGGCTTGATTGATGGACGAGTCGCCATGTTTATAATTAGAATCCGACGTTTCCGGTTCACTGTCTAACGTTTGAGCCGCGATTCGCCGCGGATCAATTTCCCTTCTGTAACCGTTGAAAAGTTTTATCGGTGACACGCCCACGTAAAACAGCGCTAAGACACGAGTAGTCGCGACTGCGCTAATTGCAGTATCTTGGAATCATTCTATAAGCTCCTACCTGCTGCGCGTGAGTGTGTGTGCGAAAGGACGTCGAGCATGCTATCGCGCGCGGAAACCCGCGCGTGAGAAAATATGCGATTTCATAGGCATAGTTGTTCCGCTTCGTTCGTCGATTCTAATTTCGGTGCTTTCGGTGCCGAGCAGATGCAACGTGTTATCGAACCTTTTAACCACGTGGACGTTTACGACGCGGTCGGACGTACCGGCTATACGAAAATCCACGTGTGCAGGAAACGAGATGCGGGTCGCGGCAGTCACGCATGTGTGTGTCTTTCTCAACGGTCGACAAATTCAAACAGTGGATCTAAACAAATTTGCGAAGTGCGTCTTCTATGAAAAAAGTCAGGTGGTCTCTCTGCTGGATTTATGCCGCCTCTGCGCTCCTTCGAACTTCTTTTGATCAAGTTTCGAATATTTCGGCGCGCATATTTCTAGAGATGCGAAACACGGTAGGAGTATAAGCGCGTGACAAAACGTATATGATGGATTATGAGTGAGTTAAATATAATTTACAGATATATACGAATGTGTAGAAATATAGAGAGCGCAGCACCCTTATAGATAAATATAATACCGGCCAAGACTTTGAAAGACAGTAATTAATTATTTATTAAAAGCACCGTTATTCGATACTTTTTTTAGTACATCGAATAAGTAATTATTATCTTTTAGTAATAATTGACCAGTATAGCTCTTTGTAAGGGCATCGCTTTTTACTTTTTAATGTGCAAATTTGCAATATATTTATGTTGTATCTGTAAAGTTGGTACGAAAGTTATTTATGATGTTACGAGTGAAAAAGTCGCCCTTAAGAATCTGCTACAAAAATGTCAAATATTCGTAATACAAACTCCATTGTTACTTGATAATTTTTTCGCAGGCATCTTGCCAAGTATCGTACATTGTTTTTATGTTAGATCGCTTTATCGAATACATCGCGGTAATTACTATTCCGTTAATAGACTTACCTCTACCCTGCATGAAAGTAAAGAGGTCGTCAAGAAATACCTTCCGTTCAGGGGTTTCATCCAGTTCGTACAACTGAAATAAAAAGAAATAAAGACAAATGAGAGTCTTGTTATAAAAAGAGAAATAATACATTTCGATGTACGGGAGCGTCTTACCACTAACGTATTAACTCTTAAAGGGACATGCGTCCCTTTTTCGATATTTACAGAAATTACATACGCATAATGATGGGACATCTTGTGCACGATAATAAGAGTACATCTTCATTACGTGCAGTACAGCATTATACGTTAAATATTACATTAAATTGAGGAGCGTACACGATAAGATCTTCTCGTGAGTTGTACGCTTAATACAATTCAATGTAATCAAGCGCGACAATCATCGTTTTTTTTTATGTCGCAAGCGTTTTTATAATCGCACAAATACTTTCCCCCTCGCAGCAATGCTCTCCCGTGCAGATCGGGAGAATAAAACGTTACCTTACGGCGTGGTAATAAAAACAGGAGTGAAACAAGTGTGCTCATAGCGACAGGCAGATTAGTTAGCTCCGATTATTAATGATTCCGTTTAACCTGCCTCATAACCCGAAACCCTCGCCGACTATATGAAAGCCAAACCCCCTTCGGGCTGGCGGCCCGTATTATCATATTTGTTATGTACGATGTGCTATATCTAATCTGAGACCTCCTAATTGCTTTTATAATATCAGCCCCGTACACCCTCGCTTTCTCTTCTCCTAGTGTCTCTCCTTATCCTCTTTTTCTCTGGCGCTTTCTACATCCCTTAAACGCTCATTCGACAAGCGGCTACGCGAGCGCTTGTTCCTTTTCCTCTTCCAATACTTTCCGCTCTCTTCGCAATTCAACTCGACTCAACTTGACTCGGCTCGACTCGCACATTCGCCGCGCGACGATAAATTCTATTCAACTAATCGTGCGGTGTTTCGCAACACTATCTCTCCCCAAGGGCGAATAATAATTAATACGATACCTTACGCTCACGCCGTCTATCCCATCTAGTTTTCCGCCTAGACTGCCCGCGGATTATGAAAGCAATCGTAAAATCAAGGTGTGTGTGTGTGTGTGTATATGTTATGCACTCGAAGATTTTAGTTGATACACACAATATACATTCGTTTAATTATACAAAGATTCCTTAGAATCCTCTTTTTTATATATTTAAAACATGTGTGTTTATTTTAATAAGAAAGCTAATTAAAAACACTATCGACATTCGAAATAACCAATCCAATTCACGGCTCTCGCATTTTATCAGCAACGATGTAATTAATGAGAGTACCGCAATGCTCGTTCGATACGATATATAGAAATGTAAAGTAATACGTCAGAGTGTATAACGCCCATGTGAAGACGTAAATGTCGACGCCTGTCATGGGAAAAAATGCTGCTCGCACGAGATGTATGGCGACAAAACGAAATATGTGCAGTATGCACGCACGACGCGCGCGTACAGCTGTGTAGAACGGGCGGTTTCTCAGCATGCAGTGGCAGGTGCCTGGCAATCGCCACCACGTGCAGTAGATCGTTAATCGAAGTTAATCGATGAAAGAGTGAAAGAGAGAAATTTACTCGTGGTACCTCGCTCAATTTTCGCGGCAACCCCTTCGCTCTCGCCCTCTTAATCTCGTTCGCCACCCTTGATGAGACGAAGCAACGAGGATCGTATCGTATATAGGAATGAAGGAACGAAGAAACGAACGGATGGACGGACAGCATTTCTCAAGGGCCATTTTGTACCACTTTCTCGTGTTTTTTCTTTGGCTACACGAGCGATGAGCTCGTTAGGGGCAGCCGGAGGGAGAGGACGAAGTAAAGGCCAAGGGAGGTGGGGACGGAGTATAGAGGCTGAGGGTTCAAGCGAGGTATATTGATTGATCTACAGTTAAGCGGACTGACGGCAGCCACGTGAGGATCAGGGGAGAAGAGCAGCTCTTTCTCTCTCTCTCTCTCTCTTTCTCTTCCTTTCGCTCGTTCGTATCCTACATGCCGCCTATGTGTACCTTACTACCGTGGTAAAATAAAGACGGGGCAACGGAATTTGCTCTCGATGATGCATGCGCCGCAGCCCCGCCCTCTCCTTCTCTCATCCACTGACGGCCAGTGAATAATAATTCCTGATACGACCGCCGGTTGATCGGACGACTTTCGTCCCAGGCAACCACGAGGAGAGCCAACTTTGCCGATGATCGATGTACGCGTGCTTAGTAACGTTAACGGACTCGAAGGTGCTGCGATTATAGCGACCGAGGTGTATACACGCATACAGTACGTTCGGCAAGAATATCCGGTAATGATCGCATTCGATGAACAGAGGTGATTCCTTGAAAATTTTAATCATCGAATTTCAATCATTTTCTCTTAACGGGGTGTGTCAAGTCTGTAAATTCGTTCGTTGTAGAAATTAACTACAAGATTTTTGCAATTTTATTTTACTGATTGCGAGTCACGATAAATGATGATCTCTACAGTCAGTTTGCAAATTCGAGTTGGTTGAAAAATATTTCGTTACGTATTAATATACGGTTGAAAGGAAGTGGGACACCTATCGCAAATATATCACGAATTGCGTTCTGCGAACGTAAAGATCGTTGAACTGATTTCTAACTATTTTTCGTTCTGGCCTCTTGACCATCGCGCGATGGATTTTACGACCTCAAGACGCGAAACGCGATAGAGGAGACGAACGTGGAGAGCAAGAAGAGGTCTCTCATCAGCACTTTGTGTGGCACACGTCCGCTAGCTTTACGAGCAACATTTATCGATGCGCGACTTTTTCTACCGCGTCAGAGATTGAGATAGTTTGCTTTCTTCCGGTCGGATAAAGAGCGTCGATAACTTTGTTTCCGTATAATGTTGCAAGTGAAATAGAAATAAATATACCTATTTACAATCTCGTATAAAAGACATTTTCTTTACTAGAAACAAAACTCTTTCGTATATTTTTACACCTATATATACAATATTATAATATTTAAAAAAATCACATCTTACGCTTCCCTGAAACGGATAACGTAAAATTTCCATATACGCGACTTGCCAAGCCTCGCTAGGAGGTGCGGAGGGAACGCCGGTGAGTAAACCTGTATCTACACTCGCCGACTTATTATCTTAATTATATAATTAACCATAGGTTCGTGTACTTTGAAAAGCTTTGCGCGGACGATATATCGTTACGTCGCACATCCGCCCCCGCGAGTGTATAGGGGGTCAACTTCCGGCCGTAAACCCTTCTTAAGGGTGCGTCTCGAACGAAACGGAAGCGGGCGCAGTCTTACGTAATGCGCTCCGACTTTTCCTTTCGAGATTCAAGATCGAGATATCGGATAAGGGCACAGAGCCTTTACGCGGGGACACAATACTCTTGTCACGCTAATGATAATGCTAAGTATTGATTTATACGTATATTGTATAATGGTAATGCTAAGTATTGATTTATATTGAGGTTAGATGAATCTTTCTTCGGGAATATCAATTCAATATTTATGACACACAAATATATTCGTTATCTATATTACGATATAATAGTAAAGGATTGATACTTCGTGAAAAATATACTTGAAAATGTTAAAAATCTACATCCTTTAGGGATTCCTTTTAATCCTACAGTACTAACAGTACTATCGCTATTAGTGATATAGTATTGTTATCGATATGTAAATTTTATGTACAAGTGAGCGAAGTCGTTAAATACGCCTATGAGTAACCATTAGGAAGTCCAAATCTACCATACTAAAAGCTAGAACAAGTGGAGATAAGCGGAGATAATTTTTAAAAAGTCTGTCAGTTATATACATATCAGTTTAGATCCTCTGGTGGTCAGTATTATAACACAGACTGTGTCTCAATTTATAAATAGTTTTGTGATGTTATAGATTTTGTTTAATTTATTCTAGAGTTAAGTGAATTGTTACGAAATAATTCTCTAACACGCCAAATCGCCCGACTATGAATTCCGCGGTAGATTCGCATGAATTACGATGAATGTACGAAACGAGATAAAAATTTTATCGCTCGTTTCCTCCGACGGTTATATTTGCTCGTTCAAAGGATTTGAGAGATCGTTAAAGCGCGAATGTAGTGTGATGTAATTACGACGATAAAATGTTTATTTTGCTAAAATTTATTTTATTATAAAATTCTTTTGATTAAACATTTTGAGGGGCGCGTATGTTATACGTACATAATCAAAAAAGATTAATATTAATATGTAAGCAAAATATTTTCAAATGCCGTAATAAAAAATTATCGCTTTAGAAGAAAAAGAAGAGTCCGCAAAACATATCTCTTTACTAAGGATTAACTACTCGTTATCTCTCGCTTTAGAATTTAGTCAAAGATTTGAAAGAATTCAAAGCATTCCTCTCGTCTCATGTAGCCACATATCCTTTGACCAATTAAGATTTTATGAACTAATATCCTATTAATCTCTATTAAAAAAGCATTCTCTCACAAATGCATTTAATCAATATTTTTTTTTGCAAATAGAATGACACTTGTAAGTCAGCAATGAAAAGTTAACTTCGAAAGACAGTGAAAATGTTCTTAAACACAAGAATGAAAATCGGAGCAAGCTTGATTCGCTGATGATAAGTGTAGGAGATATCCGGTCGACGATGGAAATGGCGAACTTTAAGTAGGGATATCAAGATCGGCGACGGGTTATATGAGCGGCCATAATAGTTGCTACCATTACCCGCTTCCAGGACATTAAAGATAGCAAAAGGCAATTATAATCATTATGACGTCGAGCGGCGCGTACAATGCCGCTGATGCGTTACGCTCCTATAAAATCTCTGTAACGTCCAGAACAACGAGTGGCCCGAGAAGCTCGGCCTTCTTCTTCTTCTTCTTCTCTCTCTCTCTCTCTCTCTCTCTCTCTCTCTCTCTCTCTCTCTCTCTCTTTCTCTCGCTACGCCCAGTAAACTCCACCCGCAAGCCGGTTATCGTACCGCATCTCGAATCGCCTCACGCTCCAAGACGCAACGCGACATGACGGCGGACACTGTCTTTAGAAAAGAATTCTTTAAAGATTCTAATAAATACGTCGAT